GTTCGAGGGATACATGCGGCCAGAGCAAAATGTACGTTTTGAACGATTTTCTCAAGTTTTACTATACTTTATTATACGCCGATATACTATGAAGTGAACTTGAATAATGGAACAACTTATAGGTAAGATTCCGATGCGAAACTTTTCTGTTTTGCGGTCCAGATATAGTTTATATTATTGTGAAGTCTGCAAATGACATAGCTATTATCAAACAAGTTTAAATTTAAAAAAACAGCACCACTCCTAACGATTTATATATAACAAATCCGCCATTTTGTTTGTCAAAGTTCGCACATGCTCAGAATCAATGTCCGTATATTTATGTATTCGTGTTCACATACCATAAAAACAATTGATTACAAAAGAAATTAATAAAGCAGAACACGAATATATGAATATGGTCCCCTCTCCCCAATTATGGTTATCTGTAATTACTGAATCTCATGATCCAGACATGTTTCCGTATTGTGAAAACCAATGGAGAAGAAGTCCGTGGAGCCAATTATGCAAGAGACAATCGCAAATCTTTAACAGCAATTGAATGAAATTAAATTCAATAAGATACGTTGACCACCAATAATACCCAAACAAATAAGAATAATTATTAAACTATCTTAGCCTACCTAAACAGCTGCTAACAGTAAAAAAGAAGAATTATTAAAACACTTTGACCACCAAGACTACTTAGACTACCTAGACAGCTGTGATTACTATGTATATGTATCCTGACCACCATGAACACCTTAAAACACTACTAATAAAAGGTATTGTTAAAAACAATGAAGAATTATTAATAAAAACACTTTGACCACCAAGACTACCAAGACCACTAAGACCACTTAGACTACCTAGACAGCTGTGATTACTATGTGTATGTATCCTGACCACCATGAACACCTTAAAACACTACTAATAAAAGGTATTGTTAAAAACATTGAAGAATTATTAATAAAAACACTTTGACCACCAAGACTACCAAGACCACTTAGACTACCTAGACAGCTGTGATTACTATGTGTATGTATCCTGACCACCATGAACACCTTAAAACACTACTAATAAAAGGTATTGTTAAAAACAATGAAGAATTATTAAAACACTTTGGCCACCAAGACCACCAAGACTACCAAGACCACCAAGACTACCTAGACTACCTAGACAGCTGTGATTACTATGTGTATGTATCGTGACCACCATGAACACCTTGAAACACTACTAATAAAAGGTATTGTTAAAAACAATGAAGAATTATTAAAACACTCTGACCACCAAGACCACCAAGACTACCAAGACCACCAAGACTACCTAGACAGCTGTGATTACTATGTGTATGTATCCTGACCACCATGAACTCTTTAAAACACTACTGATAAAAGGTATTGTTAAAAACAATGAAGAATTATTAAAACACTTTGACCACCAAGACCACCAAGACTACCAAGACCACCAAGACTACCTAGACTACCTAGACAGCTGTGATTACCACGTGTATGTATCCTGACCACCATGAACACCTTAAAACACTACTAATAAAAGGTATTGTTAAAAACAATGAAGAATTATTATTAAAACACTTTGGCCACCAAGACCACCAAGACTACCAAGACCACCAAGACTACCTAGACTACCTAGACAGCTGTGATTACTATGTGTATGTATCCTGACCACCATGAACACCTTAAAACACTACTAATAAAAGGTATTGTTAAAAACAATGAAGAATTATTAATAAAAACACTTTGACCACCAAGACTACCAAGACCACTAAGACCACTTAGACTACCTAGACAGCTGTGATTACTATGTGTATGTATCCTGACCACCATGAACACCTTAAAACACTACTAATAAAAGGTATTGTTAAAAACATTGAAGAATTATTAATAAAAACACTTTGATCACCAAGACTACCAAGACCACTTAGACTACCTAGACAGCTGTGATTACTATGTGTATGTATCCTGACCACCATGAACACCTTAAAACACTACTAATAAAAGGTATTGTTAAAAACAATGAAGAATTATTAAAACACTTTGGCCACCAAGACCACCAAGACTACCAAGACCACCAAGACTACCTAGACTACCTAGACAGCTGTGATTACTATGTGTATGTATCCTGACCACCATGAACACTTTAAAACACTACTGATAAAAGGTATTGCTAAAAACAATGAAGAATTATTAAAACACTTTGGCCACCAAGACCACCAAGACTACCAAGACCACCAAGACTACCTACAATGCTGTTACAGTTACAGTTTATTTGTAACTATTTACAGTTATAGTTACATTGCCAAAAACATAACTAGTTACCGATACAAGTTACAGACGCCAAAGTGTAACTAGTTACAGTTACAAAGTTACAATATATTTTTTGTAACTTAGTTACAAAGTTACAAGTTACATTTATTGATTGCAATTAAGAACGCATACAATTCAAATGGGCCGAATGGTAATGAAACTTGCAGCAAAATTTTTGGCAAAATTAATAACTATTTACTAGATGTATCTGCATGCATCTGTAAAATTCCACCAAATCGATTTTTTAATAGAATTGTCAATTTAAAAAACTCTGCTATTATACAGTCTGAACGAATAGATTGGAAAAAAATATACCTCACTGGCTAGTGGCTTCTGACTTCGCAATGAAAAAGCAGAAACGTGAATACGTGATCATGACTGGGCCAAGGCCAAGTGAAATGAGGCCAAAGACCAATTATGACGAGGCCAAGGCCCAAGTGAAGGCGAGCGACGGCATTCCGATCAGTTCCAACTGTACGTAAATTTGACGTCAATCCCTGACTTAAATTTGTGTCTTGAACGGATTCTGTTGTGTCAGATTAAATTTTTCCTGTGCAGATGATTAAGAGCTTGCCTGACTGTGTATTGATTTATTTCATTTTAAAAACGTACACAAATAGCAACGAACAAAATGTAACTTGTAACTTTGGCAAAATAACTTGTAATCGTTTCAATTTTATGGCATTTTTTGTAACTAGTTACCGTTACAGTTACATGTTCTCAAAATGTAACAAGTTACCGTTACCGTTACTGAAAAATGTAACGATTACTTGTAACAAGTTACTTTTAACGAAGTTACTTACAGCACTGACTACCTAGACTACCTAGACAGCTGTGATTACTGTGTGTATGTATCCTGACCATCATGAACACTTTAAAACACTACTGATAAAAGGTATTGCTAAAAACAATGAAGAATTATTAAAACACTTTGGCCACCAAGACCACCAAGACTACAAAGACCACCAAGACTACCTAGACTACCTAGACAGCTGTGATTACTATGTATATGTATCCTGACCACCATGAACACCTTGAAGCACTACTAATAAAAGGTATTGTTAAAAACAATGAAGAATTATTAAAACACTTTGGCCACCAAGACTACCAAGACCACCAAGACTACCTAGACTACCTAGACAGCTGTGATTACTATGTATATGTATCTTGACAACCATGAACACTTTGAAACACTACTAACAAGATATCCCACATTCAAACTTTCTCGATTTTACAGGGAGTCTACCGAAAATTCATGCAATCTCCTGATCTCCCGTTTTATTATTTTTCCCAGAAGAGCTAGATTTTAATTCACTGAGCAGTCTCCCTATTAAATTTCACTTTGAGAAATTGGAATGTCTGCAACTATGATCACTAGGTATGTTAGAACAGTATAAAATGTATTGGTTGAATATTGCGATTTTAATAACGATGCGAAACCAGACGGCAGTTTTAGAAAATGAAGTGGAGCAAAAATGTACCGGAAAATGATGACATCTTGGAAACACAAAAAGCAATGAATATTTGAATTAGCCAATCACACGCGACCTTCTAAGGGGTGCGACCTGCCTCAATATGGTAGCTGCGAGAATATAAATCCCACCAAAAAGTAGATAATTTTATACGCTTTCTACCAATTGCGTTAAGTTTGAATATCCATAAGTTTTGGGTTAATATACGCGTTGAAACGCGCACATAAAATCAGACAGGTATAATTCCAACTAGAAATTATATTCTGTACGTTGATTCCGACGGCAATTTTGACACCCTCGTTTAGGCAGCAATTTTTCGCTCAATATTGTGGCTACGAGAATATAAATTCCACCAAAATGTAGATATTTTTCTAAGCTTTCGACATATATGCGTTATGTTTGAATATTTGTTAGCTTCGAGTCGAAATGGGTGCATAATAATAAATAACTATTGTGCGATATAAGGGAGCGATACAGATTATATACAGCAAGACGTATGGTTTAGAGCTCCTCGATTTCTCTGTAGAATCGCTCTGAAGTCAATAAATTTTGTCACAAATATGAACACGACAACTAAACTGCTTGTTGATGGTGGAATATATGGTTTTAATGGCTTATTATCCGACTTAAAGCGCTTTGTCGATGAAACTTTGGGACTTAAAGGGAATCAGTTAAGCTCAACTATTATTGAAATTCCTCCGTCCAATGATGAAGATCAACATGATAATTTGACAAACGCCACTGTAATTGTAGATCAATTAACGAGCCTCTTATTAGCATACACCAAAGATGCACCCCCGAGTAAACAACAAGGCATGATTAATGCGCATAGAAATAGAATACATATTACAAGATTGCAAACATAGCCGTCTAATGAGGAGATTCCTAAAAGGAATATTCCTTGTCCTTTTCTCTTGCGGCAGGGCTGGTGTATTAAGAAGCAAAACTGTGATTTTAAACACCCACAACATCTGCACCCAAAAAAGCCATGGGATAATATGCCTAAATACAGAATACGTTGTCCCTTTCTACAAAGGAGAGGGTTTTGCTTGAAAGGAAACCAATGCGATTTTTCACATAGTGATACCTCAAATATTCCGTCGACTCAAAGGCCTAACATGAACTATCCTAGTCCTTTTTTATCCCACCAGCAAAGGAAAATGACCCCAAATTACAATTGGCAAGTCCCCCCAAACTACTCCATGATACCATGGTCAACCTACCCGTGGCCAAAACCTTTAATGGACATCCCAATATATTCACCTCGTGTAGTACATCAACCAACCTACCCCCTTCACCTACGACCCCCGTTTATTGAGTCACGAGACCTCCCCCCTACGCACATTTAGAAATTTGATAACCGTTCCACTCACCAAACATACAACAAATACGAATAAGAGTCAAGTGAAACCCAACGATAATTCTCAATTTGTTCCAACACTATTACTTTCGAATACAATGTCATTGGCCCCAAAAATTGATGAAATAGCGTTTACTATACAACAGAAAGATATTCAAGTAGGCTTCTTTACTGAAACATGGTTGAAAGATTCAATCGCAGATGACCCAATTGCTATTTCTGGTTATCAACTATTTAGATTAGATCGCAAAAATAAGCAGCATGGCGGTGTGTGCTTGTATGTGAGGAACACTATTGAGAGTAAAACTTTGTCCATACTACATAAGGAGGATTATGAAGTTCTGTGGTGTATACTACGACCAAAACGTTTACCTCGAGGTTTTTCAAATATTTTTGCAGGTGTGCTTTATCACCCTCCAGGGGCGAATAACACAGCAATGAAGGAACACCTTAAATCATCACTGGAAATAATTGAAACACATTATCCAAACAGTGGCATAGTTCTGGCTGGTGATTTCAACCAACTCGATTTTAAATCAACGGCGAAACTTTTTAACTTAAAACCTGCTATAAATTTCCCTACTCGAGGAATTAATACTCTTGATCAGATTTTTACAAATCTTAAAAACTTTTATAATCCAGCAGAAAGTGGTCCACCGTTTGGCTTATCTGACCATGTCACGATCACTATGATTCCAGCAAAACGTGTCAATTTACGACCCCAAAAAACGACTATAAAAGTACGGGATAAAAGACCAAGCAATGTTGCAAGCCTTGGCCGTTTCCTTTTAAATATCCCGTGGGAAAATATATTGTCACCTCTGCGATCTTCTGATGACAAACTAACAACATTTACAGAAATAATAAATTATGGTTTAAATACCATAATGCCAGAAAGATCAATTAAAGTAAGCCCAAATGATCGTCCGTGGATGACTAGCCATTTGAAACGCCTTATTTTACAAAGACAAAAAGCATTTGCCTTAGGTAACAATTTCATGTTTAAATTGCTGCGAAACAAAGTAAATCGGGAAAGAAAACGTTGTCGTAAAGTATACTATAAGAAAAAAGTTAGCAACCTTCTGGATTCGAAACCTAAAGACTGGTGGCGAGAGGTAAAACAGCTCAGTGGTCAGCAATCAACACGGCCAGACCTCAGATCCATGATTAGATTTGACGTTGAGGACAGTGATGAAGGTTTAGGAAATAGGATTAACGAGGCCTTTATCAGTGTCATGAAAGATTTCCCCCCGCTGCCTGAAGATTTTAACCTATCGACTGACAATGATGAACCAATTAGCGTCTCAGAAACAACAGTGGAGCGGCTACTACGTACAATCAGTGTTTCCAAAGCTAGCGGTCCTGATGAACTCCCCAATTGGGTTCTAAAGAGCTTTTCTGACATTCTGGTACCTGCAATTACGGATATATTTAATGCATCCTCCCGTGAATGAAAGGTGCCGAGGGTATGGAAAATAGCAGATGTGCCACCTGTTCCTAAAGCCAAAAACATTACTGATTTTAACAAGGACTTGAGGCCAATATCCTTAACTTCAACATTGTCAAAAATTGCAGAAAACCTCATCATCGAGTATGAATTAAAATCTAAACTACTAAGAAAGATGGACCCAATGCAATTTGGCTTTATCCCAGGATCAAACACGACTCTTGCGCTTATTTCAATGATGCATACCTGGCAAGATGCACTTGATGGGACGGGCTCTACAGTAAGAGTCGCTCTACTTGATTATCGCAAAGCCTTCGACCTAGTCGACCACAACCTATTTGTTGCAAAACTATCCAACTATGAAATAAAGTCAACGGTTGTAAATTGGATATAGCTGACTTTCTTTGTTGGCGGACTCAGAGAGTTAAAATAAACTCTGTGCATTCAAATTTTTTACAAGTTTCTGCCGGTATTCCACAGGGAACGAAAATTGGTCCCTGGCTATTCCTAGCAATAATAAATGACCTATTTATTACAAAATCTCCGACTAGTAACCTGTGGAAATTTGCAGGCGATACTTTGGTTTCCGAAGTTATTCCAAAAGATGGTGTTAGTTCCCTGCCAGATAAAGTCGACGAAATAAATAAATGGTCGAATGACAACAAATTTCAGCTGAACCCTGGTAAATGTAAAGAGCTGAGGATAAACTTTACCACGCAACCATTTACTGAGGAACCCCTAAATATAAACGGGAAGCCATTTGAAATTGTAAAATCCGCAAAGGTTCTGGGCATGATAGTTACCAATGATTTGAAATGGAACAAACATGTAAGCAATACCGTGGAAAAGGCTTCTAAGAGACTTTATTTATTAAGGCAATTAAAACGTGCTGAAGTGGAAACTAGATCCTTATACAAGTTTTATACCGCGTGTATAAGATCTGTCGTTGAGTATGCTTGCCAAGTCTTCCACTCGAGTCTCCCTAACTACTTATCAATGGAAATTGAAAGTATTCAGAAGCGGGCACTACGGATTATCCACCCAGACTCGAGTTACATCGAAGCATTAAAAAAGGCAAAGTTGGAAACATTGTACGATCGAAGAGAAAAGTTGTGTGTAAAACTATTTTCATCAATCGAAGCAAATGATGATCATAAGTTAAAGGAACTATTGCCACCGAAAAATTCACAACCAAACAATCTCAGAACAAACAGAAAATATAATCTTCCCAAGATGCACACGAACAGATTTAGTAATTCCTTTATTCCATATTGCGCACATAATGCGACTTTGCAGGTAATTTCAGATCACTAATATTATAAATAGTTATGAACATACATTTACATTTAGATTTTAGACTTTTTATTAGAGACAATACGATAGGTAAAAACATGTTATGTAAACATAGGTACATACATATATTTATAAATATATATATACATATATATATATATATATATATATATATATATATATATATATAGCTTAAGATTTTGGTTTACGAAACACAAACAGTGCTCAATACCATATAGATAGAGCGTAATATAGTTTTTCGTTTTACCTCAAAAAACCACAACAGTCTTGTGGTTTTTTGAGGTAAAACGAAAAACTATATATATATATATATATATATATATATATATATATATATATATATATATATATATATATATATTCATATATTTTCACTTTTGTAAATTCAATGGTAATTCAGTTCACAAGACTGTAATATTGATTCAATTAAACGTTCTATCTATCTATCTATCTATCTATCTAAAACCAGACAAATTATATATTCCGACTAGAATGTGTATTCCGACGGCAATTTTGTCCCCTCGTTTAGGCAACGATTTTCCGCTTAATATTGCAGAGAATATAAATCCCATCAAAATGGAAATATTTTCATATATGCTTAAGTTTGAATATCTTTACGTTTCGAGTTAATATACGCGGTTGAAACGCGCGAAGTCCGCGTCCGCGAGTCCGCATCCGCGAGTCCGCGTCCGCCAGTCCGCGTCCGCCAGTCCGCGTCCGCCAGTCCGCGTCCGCCAGTCCTTTTCGTAGTTGACACATACATTAATTTTATACACATTGGGTGGCAAGTTTGCCAGAATGAGATTGGCAACTTTCTTGGCATATGGAACACTTTACTGACATTTTCGGAACCACGTTCCTCCATCAGAGGTAATAAATCACAACTAACGCTATATTTGTGGTTTGCCGTTTGTCAGAAAATGAAAGGCAGGAATTTGATCATACCGGAAAATCTCATGGCACAGCACGGCCGAGACAAATGTATGCTGAACTTTTTATAAAGGGAAGTCATCTAATTGCCCAAAATATACTAAATAAAGCCAAGAAGACGAGAGATATTACCTTTACGCCCATTATATTGTTCTGTTCACATCACCAAGAGATAAACAACGAACCACAATGCTTGGCAGACTTGTCAAGTTAATCATGGTTACTCATTAACCAAGAGTTCATGGGTGCTAATGAAGAAGCTACGAAACGCCCTCGTGGTTATTTGCTGTTGGATTTAAAATCTACAACAGATGATTGGCGACATAATGCCAGGCGAAACTGATTCCTTAATCAGATGATATGTGCGAAAACAGTCTTATCAACAATCATCATTTGTAAATGCAATGTTTGATCCAGAACTACGATGCTCTTGACCATGGAAGCACCACAGTTTATTGCAGTGGAGAAAAGCATAATCTATTCTGATTACTGCTAAATCGGTTTCTGACGGCTTTCGTTTATAAGATGGATGTGTTGATTTTCAACCTTGCGACTATTTCACATCTGAAATACGATTCTTACACGATGAGCAATAACGCGGGAACTAACGAAAAGACATCAGAGTAAAAGTGCGATCAAACGGTGGTAATCGTATAAGTAGTCTTTCGGCATCATCACTTTTTCGAGGGCAGAGACACAACTGTAAATTATATCTAATTATCTATAATCTCTAACACGAGTGACACCATAGGTCTCTCAAAAAGATAACTAGGCGTTGCATCATAATGTACGTTATTTCTCCAAAGTTGGCAAGA